ACACACACACCAACCCCGCCCTGGCCCATCTTTTTTGTTGATTTGTTTTAAATTTTTGCATCTTCATTTTTTTAAAACACCTAATTTCCCAACAAAAAACCGAAAATCATTTCAAAAAAAAATACAGCGCAACTCAGGGACCATATCCCTCATGATAAAAAATGCCAAAAAAAAATTCCTGCTTTTCTTTTTCTTTTTCTTTTTAATATTTTGTTTAAATCAATTTTCGTTTTTCATTTTTGAAAAATCTTAAACGAAGTCGGATTCCAAAATAAAACACATAGGATTGTAGGGTTTTCTAAGCCCTACACCCCTATATTTTTTGTTTTTTTTAATGTATTTTTAGGGGTAAAAAAAAATATTAAAAAAACAGGCCGCGGACTTGGCCTCATGGGCCGCGGCCGGGTCGGCCGACTTTATCGGCCGCAGTGGTCGAAATGCCCGCGGCCTAGGCCGCGGGTGTCAACCAGTGTTCGTTAAAGAGAAATAGAGAGGTTCATATAAGAAAAGCTTTGGCCAGTAGAATGGCCTTTACAAATAGATGTGAGAATTTTTCAGAGCTTTCTCGTATTTTTGGAAAGCCCTCTGCTAGAATGAGGGGCGCTGGACTCGGTTCCAGCAAAGCCGAAACTGGGTAAACTATTCGGGGTTGAATGGCGAGGTCCCTGGCCTCATCCTATTTCCAAAGAAAATTTGATGCTTTCCAAGCACTGGCCTGATCGCCTCTTTCGCTTTCCACTCACATCTTCCCGTTCCTTCCCCCCTTCCCCCCTCCTTTTGTTTGTGTACAGTGTTAAAGGATATCGCAGCAGGGGTGTTTTCAAAACCTGCAACCACTTCGGACCTTTCCAAAACAAACTACCAAGGGCATCCACAGCCCCCTTTCACACAGCAAAAATTTTGGGGGGACCGGCCGTCACAGCTAGGGGACATCAAGTTTGTGCCGTGGTAGACAATGGACATCTAGTGGAGCAGCAGCTGAGAGTGAGTTTTCAAGACCTGCAACCACTTCGGACCTTTCCAAAACAAACTACCAAGGGCATCCACAGCCCCTTTTCACACAGCAAACATTTTGGGGGGACCGGCCGTCACAGCTAGGGGACATCAAGTTTGTGCCGTGGTGGACATCTAGTGGAGCAGCAGCTGAGAGTGAGTTCGGCCGAACTGAATGGACCGGTCCCATGACGAAATGCCAACCAAAGGTCGAAGGAGTACAACACCAAGGATATACTGGCGGCCCAGGGAACAACCTCGACGCACGCGGCCCAGGGAACAACCTCGACGCACGGCCTACCAGTCCACGAACAGACCGGCGGTCTGGAACTGGGGCCGGCATGACTGGCCGGCCTGGCGAGGTACCACTACTTCTAGCTTTAAACACCATACCCTTCCTCTGTTTTTATCTCCAGCGAGTTGTTTGGTGGAGAGTTTGGGATATTGGCCAGCTGCACTGGATGCTAAGCCGCTCTCTCTCTCTCTCTCTCTCTCTCTCTCTCTCTCTCTCTCTCTCACACACACACACACACACACACACACACGACAACACACTCTTACACTTCATTGTGGACTCTCTCTCTCTCTCTCTCTCTCTCTCTCTCTCTCTCTCTCTCTCTCTCTCTNCTCTCTCTCTCTCTCTCTCTCTCTCTCTCTCTCTCTCTCTCACACACACACACACACACACACACACACACACACACACACACGAACACACGCGCGCGCGCACACGCACACGCACACGCACGAACGACAACACACACTCTTACACTTCATTTTGGAGTTTGGTTTATAGGTATTACCTAAATTTTCCTGAATAGTATGGGATTAGCTTATTAAATTCCTATTTAACTTTAGAAGTTTATTCATTTTGATTTGATTAGATAATAAAAAAAGATAAATACAATATATATAAGATAAATAAGATATAGCCCTGGTATTTCAAATGACTTGTATAAATCCATATGGGACGCTGGGCCCGGTTTCCAGCACGTGCTGCTCCCCACGAATAGACTGGAGCATTTGTCCAAAAAAAAAAAAGAAGGTTTGGCGAATATACATCACACACGCACGCTCGCGCGCGCGAAACGATTTGGTAGATTAACCCAGACTTTGCGCCGAAGTCGGACCTCAAATATTCGCGTTGGGGACACCGGAACAGCGAAAAAGGACAGGATTCGACAAAGGGGAGTTCGGCGTCCAGATGTCCATAGTTTGCCTGGAGCATTGGATGCATCTACGACAGGATGTTCAACCAGCCGATTCGTAGTCTAAAAGGCATCATTTATCTCTCCGTGGTCAAGGGTCAGCGCACCCTCACACTTTGCCCCGTGGACGCCGCTTGAGAGTCGCCCACTACCGATGGGGATGATTCCCTCAGGCAAGAAAAGCACACGCTGCAGAGTATCCTCACCACAAGGTAACTTCGGCAAACCGTGACAAAGGAGCCGAAGTTACTACAATAACTGCTCGGTTCCTTTACCACCCTCCTCTGTCGCGGTCCGCCCTCAAAGAGACGTCGTTTGGAACTTGTGGGATCAGGAAATTGATTGATCGTCTGTTGAGCAAATTCCATTTCGACCGACCCACCGGTAAATACCGGGTTTGTATCTATATACTCGACATCAAAAACTTAGTTGAAAACGTTGTATTGAACTACTGTCCGGCGTCCGCGCAACTTTGTCCCTGTCCTCAAACCCCACTCTCTCTGCTGAACCCCATACTCCCTAACATCCCTTCTCGCCCCGGTCGTGCTCACCCTCCCCTCCCACCGTCCCCAAACGCACTTACACGCACACCCACATACCCACCACGTACCCACCCACCTACACACACCCACAGACGCACCCAGCCACCCACACACGCACAAACAGAGTGACCAGCATATACCTACCTTACACGAGTGACAACAGCTAGTGTGAGTCAGAGCGTATGCCGCCATACACTTTCTCCCTGTTGACGGGATCTCTTAGAAGTAAGAAAAAGAAAAAGGGTCGGGATCCACTACACCATGCATTTTTCTACAGATTTTAATACTTTTTCATCACTCTACACAAACCAACTCGTAAATTTCTCTTGTATTGCTGTCAGACATCCCTTAGGAAAAGCACTCTCCAACGTTGTATAGTTGCGGGCTCGCAAAATCCGTTAGTTGTAGATTGCTCCGTCGGGCTCACGATTTGGCTCCGAATTTGTAGAGCCCGCCTCCAGTCTGGGGTGACGAAATGCTGATGACAGCGTGTCGTCTACTGCTGTGACGTGCTGTCACCCTGTCTTCTTCTGCCGCCTCGAATTGGAGAGCCGATTGTAGAGTTAGCGGAGCGACGACGGGTTGTCCTTCTATACAAACACCGTAATTTTTTTTTGTGTAGTGGAGAGTAGTGGAGCGAGACCCAAGGGAACTTCTGTAAATCCTCAGAGGTTTACACACGAATCAGATCAGACCAGACCTCCCATCCAAATCGACAGCAATTGACAGACCGCCAAAAGATCGCACCACCCGCCGATGACTACGACGACCAAAAGAAAAGAAACTCTTTGAAATAGGCGCCAAACGTATAATGGGCACTTTGAGCATATAATAATACGATCCGCATTTTGAACGCATAATAATACGATCGGCAGTCTCGTTAGTCGTCTTCTGGCAAAGGGACCAAAACTCGGAAACACGCCCTAAAAGTGCATCTACTGCGCTCGCACTCAGACAGGCGATACTTACATTACCAGTATACCGCTCTGTCCTGTAAAATCGGCCCCGCGTGGCAAACTCGAGAAGAAGGGAAGGGGGGGGAGCGGATCTGACATTCGGGCCATCAGTCCAATTGTCCAACTGGCAAGGGACGAGCCTCCTGGTAACCAATAAAAGCGGGCACAAATGATAGCGGTGATATATAGCCCCGAGCATGCCAACGAAAATACTCGTCAAAAGAACACCAAATACGCACACAGAAAAAAGAAACGACAACAGCACTTGTCGCAAGATCACGCACAACCAAAAGAGAACGAAAATTTTTCGAGCAACATGCCAGACTAGTGCACGCACCATCCAGCACCAGAGCAGGTTCCGGCACAAACAAGACTCATTCACCATACCAAATTCAAGGTCAGGTTCATGCACCCTACCCTACCTCAGCATCATGCGGTTCCTTCTTGGCATCGTCGCCACCAGATTGCGCCCGGTGGCTTGGGACTTCGCCTGCCTCTGGATCTGCTTTACCTTCTGTGTCCCGCGCCAGGTTACCGGGTATTACTTCAATCTGTTCCCTTGACAGCAGAGCCGCCTCTACACTAGCCACCGTCTTCTCCACCTCTTCCTCAGCGCCTGGCTTCTCTGTCGATAACGGCGGCGAAGCTTCTGGCCTCGTCATGGTGACCTGAAGCTCACCTGGTGCCGGTTCGGGACACACCACGGCACCCTCCGACCCACCACTCCCATTCGAAAAGTCGGCAGTCGACTTCGCAACGTCACCCACTCGGATTACTGAACTCTGTTCTCTGACTTGCTGCCCCTCAACCCCCGGAGATTTCGTTTTTGTTGGTCCTCTTATACTGGGCAGCTTCCAAGGTGTCACCCATCGCCGTCTGGCGCTCCTCGGAACCTTTCTCTCTGCTCCGGTCAATCCCAGATCGCTGGATGACTGAAGCGCCGGCTTAGACTGTGTCTCCGTCGGATCCCCGATTTGTGCACCATAGCGCGCCGACATCGACGTTCTCAGCTTGATAGGGCTGACGCTCTTGGAAGGGTGGAGGGGAGACGCGACGTCATCCTCCCATCTCGTTACTTCACTAGGTTCTTCGACTTTCCCCCCATCCGCCATTGGCTTTTTCTGTCCTGAAGTCCAACTGGGTAACTTCATCACCCATCTCCGTGTTCCGCTCCTCAAAACCTTTTTCTCACTGGTGGTTAGTCCCAGGTCGCTAGACGATAGCATCGGCAGCGCCTTATGCTGTGTCTTCGCCGGATCCTCGATCCGTGGCGCTGACATCGACCTTGTAGGCTTGTCATGTTTGCCGCCCTTACCTCCTAATAGCACCCGCTTGGCCGCCTTCATGAGTTTCGACTCCGCAATATATAACCACATCAATGAGTCGTAAACTACAGTTCAGCCGCGAGGCACGAGCTTCTACCTGTATGACTGCTTCACAAAGTCTCCTCATGACCTTCGCCTGCGAGTTTCAAGGAAATCCCTCAGCTCGAGGACAAGGCGCCAACTTCCACGCATGATATGTACTGACCTCCTCCTCCTTGGGCAACAAGCCTTCTGCTGAGCGCGCTCTAGCTACGCCGGCGGGAATTAGTCCAGGCAAGGCGAACGAGCAGTAGGGTGTCTCTCACAAGACGACGACTAAGTACGTACCCGCCCGCGCCAACCCCTGTGAATGCTTCGGCCGGCGATCAGAAATCGGCGGCAGATCAACAAACGAAGACGAGCAAAATGGGCGGAACATGTCGGTCGGTGATTAGAAATCGGTGGGAGTCCGTCGCGGAAACCTGTGCGCGGTTTCACTGCGGCGGCGGGAGTTCAACGTGGAAACTGTACGCGCTTCACAGTGGCGGGAGTCATAATGGCGCCACTGAAGCCAGCTCTGTCTGAATGAGAACCTCCGGCGGCGCAACTATTCCCTTCCTCGTCGAAAGCGATCAACTAATTGAGACCAAAAGATCAATTTGCCAGTCAAAAAGTCTACTTTGTGCCGCTCCCTACATATGTACGTCTCCACCTATCTCTGTGTCTATACATACCGACAACGTCTCTCCCTTCCTCCCGCCGATGAGCACATCCATCAAGCGGGACGACTCCTTTAGGCAAAAAGGGAAAAAGCGCCGTCCCCAAACACTCCGCTTTCCTCATGTACGCTTCCGCTTAGGATTGGCAAGTTCGATTTTTAATTGACTCATTGTACGCTATCTCTGTCAAGATAGGGGAAGATGCAAAGAAGATTTGCGTGGCCCTCGCCAAAGATGGGCCTTGCTCCAACAGTCGCCGAATGGGAAAAGAAGAAAAACAAGTTCTAGCCGAAGATCCACTCACCGTCAACACATTTGGAGGGTAGATTGCAGCGAGAAAGAATACAGACCAAAAGATCAATTTGCCAGTCAAAAAGTCTACTTTGTGCCGCTCCCTACATATGTACGTCTCTACCTACCGATCTATCTATCTGTCTATACATACCGCCAACATCTCATCCTTCCTCCCGCCGATGAGCACATCCATCAACCGGGACGACTCCGTTAGGCAAAAAGGGAAAAAGCGCCGTCCCCAAACACTCCGCTTTCCTCGTGCTCGTGTACGCTTCCGCTTGGGGGGCAAGGATCAACAGTCTTGAGATATCATCTTCCGACAGACTGACTGACCCCGTGTGAATTCACTCATCTCTCATTCCATTGGGATTCGGACTCGGGTCCGTGTTTCAACAGTTCGTTGGTGATCGTGGGTGCAGTACCGACTGAGCTTGGCCAGTCGGTGTTCGATTTTTCACTGACTCGTCATACGCTATCTCTAGATAGGGGAAGATGCAAAGAAGATTGGCGTGGCCCTCGCCAAGGATGGGCCTTGCTCCAACAGTCGCCGAATGGGAAAAGGAGAAAAACAAGGTGGGTGTACCTTTCTACGTTCTAGCCGAAGATCCATTCACCGTCAACACATTTGGAGGGTAGACTGCAGCGAGAAATCAGGACGAATTGTGAACGATGACGAGGCAGGCCCGTGTGTGCCGCTTTTCTGGACGGTATATTGTCGGTAGATGCTGCAAGATCCAGCCCTGAAAAAACGACCTGAGAGGAGTACACCCAAAGCTAATGGCGGTGGGGCCGCCAGAACTCGCACGTTCAGCTGCGTGTCAATGGCCCACCGTACCTTGCACCCACCCACAAGTTCCTCAGCGGGGAAGAGCGCCCCGCGAATGCGAAAAAAAAAAACGAAAAAAAATAAACACAGGCGCCCCCAGTCGGCATCAGTAAGGTCTTTAGCCAACACGGGTGTGAGTGCGCGTGTGAGTGGGTTGCGTGTGCTGTGTGGGAGAGTGTTGGCTTTAGACACTACTGTTACTCCATCGGGGTGGGGGAAGATGAGTGTGAGGTGAATGCTTGGTCCTTTCCCAAAAAAGAAAAAAAGAAAAACCTCCGTCCTTCTGTTAGCCGGGCCCCCACCGGCCGCCCCAACCCTGCACCCTAAACGCTAGGGCAAAGGGGCAAACATGCCGTTACCTCTCTCCACAGCGAGAGGTAACCTCCCTTCACCTAAGAGAGGTAGAAAGCTATGCTTGCAGGGGTCCCCTGTAATTGGGCCTGTATACCCTTACTACAAGGGGTAGGTATGTATTGAAAGAAAGATATGTTCCATGACATGGCAGAACGCCAGGTGAGAGAAAAATATATGGAATGCAAGGTGAGAGAAAAATATATGGCTGTCTCCCGATGAGGAGAAGGCAGCTTTTTCAACAACAACAAAAAAAGGGGGGCTTCCACGATGCGCACCTTTCCTGGACATAAAAACGTGCTCGTCCAAGGCGGCGTCACACACAGATTGATGAATGATGGCGGGTCAGAGCACCTGAGTTGACGGGTTTGGCGTCACACACAGATTGATGAATGATGGCGGGTCAGAGCACCTGAGTTGACGGGTTTGTAGCCCTCCTCGTAGCTCCATGTGTCAGCGCGCTCATTCCCTTTTTGGTTTTTGCTTTTCTTTGAAAAAACAGGATCTGTACCCCACTTAAAGATGGGAATACCCGCTATACCCAGTCCGAGCGCCAACATGCATCTATACCCGAAACCCGTTCAACTTACTATAGCACCCAACTTTTCCTGTGTGTGAAATTGTGGGCGTACCCAGTCCGGCAGGGCCTTCGGTGTAGACCACAAAATTATGCTCATGCCCAGAAACCGGGACGGAAAATTGCAGGTGTACCCTCACCCAGTGGCCGGCCTTGGATGGTGCACCACGAAATTATGCCGGTGCCACCAAGTGTAGCGGACCTCGGGTTGGCCTGTGAGACCAGCCCCTTGGCCTGTTCTCACAGGCCTGTGTTATATTCGGGGTAGGCCAGTCCAGGCCGGTACCTCTGTCGGTACCAGCCAGTCCAGTCCAGTCCCGTCAGTCCGCTGGGGTATACCCCAGCCATTGTCTGTTTTCAGTCTCATTCCTCACTTGCACATTTT